AATTCAAAAAGTTTCCATTTGAAAACTTTAGCTGGCACAATTTGATACAGAACCGAGGTCTTCATTGGAACCACATTTCTTTCAGCTCTAAACTGAGTGCCAAGTTGCACCTGATGTCATTCATAGTTCTGATGTATACTTCCAAACATAAGCAGTACGAAATATCTCATATTATGACCTAAAGGACATAATTTGAAGACATGAATAAGTTGCAGAGCCAGAAAAGTAGCCTTTCAGCTTTTCAAAAACTGAAATTTCAAGAGTATTTTCTTAAAATAGATTGAGCTCAACTTGCCCTGCAATTTTCTGGAAGAGAACCTGTTATCAATTGTCAGAGAATCATCCCAGCAAGTGCTCTCTAACGTTCAGAAGTGGGATGAAAATCACATCCCTTGCATGTGACATCCTGTGTGTGGGCAGTGTGCCTCTACAAAGTGCCACTCACTGATGCACTGTTCTGAGCGAGGGACGGGGCCTCGGTGACAGGGCAAAGCCAATGAATGCACAGAGGGCGAGGAGGGGGAGGAGGGAAACACACGACGGAGGGCGGAGCTCCTCTAACGAGGGGGAGGAGGGACTGGCAGTACCACTGCGAGCAGGGGCTGCCCCACTCAGCAGAACCGTTAAGATTATGCGCACGTGAAGGCAGGGAGACTGGAAAGAGTAAGTCTCCCTTCCTTTCCAGAGGACACTTCGAGGGATGACAGGAGAAGTGCATACTCCGAGATTTCAATCCATTGGTGTTGAAGAATAGAGAAGTCCACAGATTCTGATGATGGTAAAAAACCACTATTTTATATTTGAATACTATCTTATGTTCAAACTTCATTCACGTTATGCGACCAAATAAAACAGTGTAAAAACTTTAAAATATTCTTGAAATGTTTGGAGTCCCAAACCTGCTTAATGACCACCAAATTCAGGGTATCCAATGTTTTTATAAGGCCAGTGAATTTAGTGGGTTATCAGTGATGATTTCTGCATTTCATTTTTTGCAGTAACTGAAACAAAGATCATTTCCCGTATTTCACTTTTTGGCTGACTGTGTAGCTTGGAAGTTAGAGTTAGTTTTCTGGTGCATGATATTGTCCAGGGGGAAATTTGACCAGGTAATTGATGCAATTGCTTAAAAGCATGAACAGCAGGTCCAGGATGCATTTTATAAGTTTATTCTGGCTTATTCTAATAAATCTTATCGTTTTAAGGCCTGTGCCAGTGAATTCTCAAACTAAAGCAGAAATGTACTATTGAGTACTATTTTTCAAATTAATATTCTTTATATCTGTGGTATTTCTCAGGAAATGTCAATTCTATTATTTCTCAAATACATCATTAAGATTTGATTCAGATCCATTTAGGAGGTATTTATCCAGGAGAAAATACAAATATAAGCTATGGCATTATAAAAAGTCTTGGCAATAGAAAAGGGGCATAGCATTTAATAGATAAGACTATGGAGTTCGAGCCTGACTGCCAGAGGTTAAATTCTAACTCTACCACTTACTACATTGGATGTTGTGGGTGAGCTAATTAATTTCTCTGTGCCTTGGTTTCCTCAATTGTGGAGATAACAATAGCACCCACTTCTTAAAGTTGTGCATTAATGAATTAATACATGTAGAGCACTCCAAACAATGTCTAGCCTTTGGTAAATGCTCTATAAGTGCCAGCTACCATTATTCAGGGATTTCTGCTTGGAGATCTAAGAATTAAGCAAACATTTCTTTAACCTTACCATATATTTTGAAATATCAGGAAAGAACTTTAGATCCTAGACCTTTTTAGAAATTATACTTTTAGTGTTTCAGAATTCAAACCAATGGGCAATATAAACATAATGTTTGAATATTTAAAATGATTTTCATTTTAAAAAATGAGATAATTTAGGCATATGTAGATTAAGGGACTTACTGGAGATGGAAAGAGGAAGACTATTCTAAGGGATTTTGTTTTCTTTTTTATGGAGTCATTTAAAAAAAAAAAAAATATATATATATATATAATTTAATGATTTCAGAGTGAGGAAGCTAGAGGGACAGAGAGATAGAAACAGCAATGAGTGAGAAACATCAACTGACTGCTTTCTGCATGCCCCCTACTGGGGATCAAGCCTGTAACAGGAGCATGTGTCCTGACTGAAAACGGAACACCCGCGACCTCCTGGTGCTTGGACAACACTCAACCAACTGAGCCACACGGGCCAGGTGCGATCTTGTTTTCTGATAATCTCTAAAGCATTGCATAAACATGCAAACCATAATCTGCAAGCAAAAATAAATAAATACCCAGAGCCAACTTTGGATCACAGATACTACTAACACATTTGTACCCTTGGTGTTTTTATAAACACAGCTTTAAATGTAAGATCAAAGTCCAGTGTGCGTTTGCATGAGTGAGTTGAGTCATCTTACCTTCTGGAAAATGTACGCTTTTGTTTTTTTTATACCAGCAGCATTAAGACATTATTTATACATAGGCAAGGTAAAATGATTAACTGGGGAAAGCAATCCACATAATTCAAACCAAATGACCGCCTTTGGTCTGAATTATCCAAATAACTATGACTAAATTGGTTGTTCTTTGTTTTATTTTGTTTGCTCCCTTTTGGAAACTGTGGGATCAGTTGGAAAAGCAGACGAAGAATAAAATTATCCAAACAGTGTTCTCAATTTTCTACCCAGGGACAGTCAGTTTTGACCCTTAAAATAGATATGAAGTGCTGTGTGTTTTGCCCAAAAATAAGAACCTAGTTCCTGTTACTTTCTGTTATAGTATAAGTTCTATTTAAGTTTTATGTTTTAAAAATATTGACACTATTCAGATGTTTACTTTAAGCTAGTATCAGCCCAAACCTACATTTGCAGTGTCACTACTGCCTGTCAGCAGAAAGCAAGGCTAGTACATTAATTTCTAAATGCTGTCTAGGAGAAAAGTGGGTTCAGACATGAGACATGAGAGAGCACCCAATGTTTTTTTGTGTTTTTTTAACAATATTTATTTAAATTTTATTATTTTTAAATTTAAATCATTTTTATTTTTCAACTACAGTTGACATACAATATTATGTTAGTGTCAGGTGTACACCCCAGTGATTAGACATTATATAACTTACTAAGTGATCATCCCAATAAATCTAGTACCTATCTGACACCATGCATAGTTATTAGAATATTACTGACTATATTCCCTGTGCTGTACATCACATCTCCATGACTATTCTGTAACAACCAATTTGTACTTCTTAATCCCTTCACCCTTTTCACCCATTACCCTAACCCGCCTCCCATCTGGCAACCGTGAAAATGTTCTCTGTATATATGAGTATGTTTCTGTTCTGCTTCTTTTTTAGATTCAATTTAAAAAATATATATATCTTTATTGATTTCAGAGAGAGGAAAGGAGAGGGAGAGAGAGAAACATCAATGATGAGAGAGTCATTGATCGGCTGCCTCCTGCACGCCCCCGACTGGGGATCGAGCCCACAACCCGGCCATGTGCCCTGACTGGGAACTGAACTGTGATCACCTGGATCCTAGGCCGACGCTCAACCACTGAACTATGCCCAGCTGGGCTAAATTCAATTTTTGATAGGTATGTATTTATTGCTATTTTATTGTTTATATTTGTTATCTTTCCTTCTCCTCTTCCTCCTCCTCTTTCTAAAAGAAGACCCTTTAACATTTCATGTCACACTGGTCTGGTGGTGATGAACTCCTTTAGCTTTGCCTTGTCTGGGAAGCTCTATATCTGTCCTTCAATTCTAAATGATAGCTTTGCTGAGTAAAGCAATCTTGGTTGTAGGTCCTTGCTTTTCCTCACTTTGAATATTTCTTACCCCTCCCTTCTGGCCTGCAAAGTTTCTGTCGAAAAATCAGCTGACAGCCGTATGGGTGCTCCCTTGTAGGTAACTAACTGCTTTTCTCTTGCTGCTTTTAAGATCTTCTCTTTGTCTTTAATCTTTGGCATTTCAATTATGATGTGTCTTGGTGGGGGCCTCTTTGGGTTTATCTTGTTTGAGACTCTGTGCTTCCTGGACTTTTAAGTCTATTTCCTTCACCAGGTTAGGGAAGTTTTCTGCCATTATTTTTTCAAATAGGTTTTCAACTTCTTGCTGTCTCTTTTCTCCTTCTGGCACCCCCATGACGCGAATGTTGATATGCTTGAAGTTGGTACACTCCTTATACTGTCTTCATTTATTTGGATTCTTTTTTTCCTTTCTGCTGTTCTGATTTGGTGTTATTTACTCTCTCATATTCCAAATCACTGACTTGATTCTTGGCTTCATCTACTCTACTGTTGACTCCATGTGAATGATTCTTCATTTCAGTCAGTGTATTCTTCATTTTTGACTGGTTCTTTTTTATGGTTTCCATGTCTTTTCTTATGCTGTTGAAGTTCACTGAGCATCCTTATAACCAGTGTCTTGAACTCTGCATCTAGTAGATGGCTTGTCTCCATTTTGTTTAGTCCTTTCTCTGGAGTTTTGTCCTGTTCTTTCATTTGGGACATGTTTCTTTATCTCCTCATTTTGTCAGCCTCCCTATGTTTGTTTTTATGTATTAGGTAGAGCTGCTACATCTCCTGGGCCTGGTAGAGTATGTGTCCCAAAGGGTTCAGTGGCACAGCCTTCTGGATCACCCAAGCTGGGCACTCCATTTGTGCCCCCTTGTCTCCATGTATACCCTCCTGTTGTAGTTGAGCCTTGATTGCTCTTGGCACGTCAACGGGAGGGATTTACCCCTAGGCCAATCTGCTGCAAGGACTGGTAGTGACCACCGACCACTGAACACCATGGAGGATCTGCTGTGCAGGGGCCCATCCCACAGAGAAGGACTTACTTCAGTGGGCCTCTGGTGTCTGCTGAGTTCATCCCTTGAGGGTGTTGCTGTGGAGGTGGCTGAATGGTATTTTGATTTGGTCTGAAGCTGTCCATCAGGTCTGATGGCTCTGGGGCCTTCTGGGAGGTGCAGGCCAAGGTCAGCCGCTGCCTTTGTTCTGTCCAGGGCCACCCAGCTTGAGCTACAAAGTGATCTGCAGCTTCCTGCTATGTTTTGGGCTTGGAGTTGCCCAGGAGAGGCCAAGCAGGGAACCACGGCTGGCTGCTGCTAGTGCCAGCCCTGGGATCATTTAGTGAGGTATGGGGAAGGCTGAGGTGAGATGCTGCGTATTTGGAGATTTTAGGAAAGTTTGAAGCATGAGCTAAGACAGGTTATTCATATGGAAAAGGCACTGGAAACAGCTTGGGTGGGCCTGTAAATTTGGTGGGGTGGGAGAGGACCTGATATTCTAATGTGTGTGACTTGGGTTCAGTCTAAAATGTAAACCAAAGAATCACCAATAAATATGAAACTAATAGTGAGTTCTTACATGTAGAAATGAAGTAGCTGAAACAAAATCAAATACTAGTTGTCACTTCATAAAAATACTAGAAATCTCTTGAAAGTATCTGTCACCATATTTGACGTGAACTAAACTATTAACTACCTGATCTCCCAGTGCGTGGGATGAAGCTCAATCAACTGAGCTGCACTGGCCAGGCTGACACAAAAACTCTCAATAAAGTATTAGTAAATCAAATCCAACAATATATAAAAAGGATAACATATCATGATCAAGCAGCATTTTATCCTGGAATGCAAACTGATGTAATGTTTGAAAATCAATCCATACAATTCCTCATAGTGACTGAATAGAGAATAAAAGTAATGTCATTTCAATAAATGCAGAAGTCTTAGACAAATTTCAATACCCATTCATCATTAAGTTAACATCTGAATCATGAACGTGATGAAATATTGAATGGTTTCCTAAAGTTCAGTTCCAAGTAAAGGACATCCTCTTTTATTACTTTTATTCAGTCTTGTGATGAAGGTCTTAGTGCAATAAGGAAAGAAAAATATGGCATAAAAGTCAGAAAGGAGTAATGCTGTCTTTATTTCCAGATGATGTGATTTTACTTATAAAATGCTAGAAAAACAATTGCTAGAAATAATTAATAAACTTAGCAAGGCCATAAGGTACAAGGTCAGTATACAAAAGTCAATTATATTTTTATATGCTAGAAGAAAACAATTGGACATTGAAAAACAAAAGATCCAATTTACATTACTACAAAACACTAAATACCTAGGAATAAATTGAACAAGAGATGTGCAATATCTTCTCACCGAAAAGTACAGAACATTGCTGAGAGAAATTAAAGACCTAAGTAAATGTGAAATTTACTATGTTCATGGATTAGAACACTCAATATTGTTAAGATCTCAATTCTCCCAGATTGATCTATAGATGCAGCTGCAACTATTTGAAAAATAATCTCAAAAGAAATCTTTTTGCCTGAATCTCTAAGTGGCTATGCCTTTGCAATGGTTTGTCTTCTTCTGTATTCCACATTTCTGTCTTGCTACTCTCCTCTACTCTGCTTCACAATTCTGAGGAAAGATGACATAGGAGATACTAGTGAAGTAGACCTGTGTGTTGACGGGTTTAAGTATGTTTCAGAACCATGGAGAGCAGCCCACATGGTTCAAACTTCCAACAGTCATGATGTGATTTTGGCAGGTCTTTGTTGGCCCTGTTCTAAAGCCTCGAGTTTAGAGCAATGCCTAAACATATAAAAAGTAGTTAATAAATATTTGTTGAATGAAATGAAATTACATGGATTCTCCATTGTGGAATCAATTTGTGCAGGACTACGAACACTTCTTGTAGCTCTTGATACATGCCGCCAAATTGCTTTTCAAAAGTGGGACATTAATTTACACAGCCTCCAAGTAAAACTTCTTTGATTTTCTCTTTATAGCCTTCACTCATTTTTCTTTTTTATTAAAGTATATTTGACTTACAATATTATATTAGTTTCAGGTGTACAGCAGTGATTCGACATTCATATTCCTTATGATGTGATTACCACAGTAATTCTAGTAACCATCGGTCACTGTACAGAATTATGGTAATATTGACTACATTCCCAATGCTGTGTATTACATCTACATGACTTATTTTTTATAACTGGTGGTTTGTACCTCTTATTCTCCTTCACTTTTTTTTTTTTTTTTTTTTTTACCAATTCCCCTACCTAGCTGCCCTCTGGCAACCATCAGTTTGTTCTCTGTACCTACGAGTCCGTTTCTGTCTTATTTGTTCATTTGGGTTTTTTATTACACATTTAAGTGAAATCATACTGTGTTTGTCTTTTTCTGTCTGACTTATTTCACTTAGTATAATACCCTCTATGTCCATCCATGTTGTCACAAATCGCAAGATTTCATTATTCTTGTGGCCGAGTAATATTCCATTGTATATCTATACCACCTCTTTCTTTATCCATTTGTCTAACAATAGACACCTAGGTTGCTTCCGTATCTTAGCTATTGTAAATATTCTGCAGTGAACATGAGGATGCATATATCTTCTTGAATTAGCTTTTTCCTCCCCCCTCCTTTGGATAAATACCCAGAAGTGGAATTGCTGGGCCATATGGTAGTTATATTTTTAATTTTTTGAAATGTTTTTTGCTTCACTCATTTATCTTATTTGGGTGATAAAATGAGTACCTACATGTTCTGAAAAAACTTAAAATTTAGGTGGGGAAGAGATGAGGAAACAAGTGATTATATTACAATGAGATATTCTATATTAAGGTATGCTATGAGACTTGTAGGGGAACCTCTTACAACTAGAGTTGAAGGTCAAAGAATTCTTTCTTATGAGAAGGTAAAATTTGAGCTGAATGTTGAAAGAATAAGAAGTAATCAGGTGAAAACAGGATGATGCACAAGTGGTGGTGGGATTAAAGGAAAGTTTTATAATACGTTTCATTGCCTGAGCTTCCATAATACTTTTTATTGTATGTGACTGTTTGCCACTGACCACTGAAGCAAGAATGGGCTCTTAAAAACAACTAATCCTTTTATTTGTCTTAATAAACTGAACCAGGGAAAGAGAGGAAACCATTTACTGTATTATGTAAAATTGAGGTTTGGACAATCACATTAAGCATGGTACAAAATGAGTAAAGAGGGGTGTGTGTGTGTGTGTGTGTGTGGGGTGTGTGTGTGTGTGTGTGTGTGTGTGTGCGCGCGCGTGTGTGTAAAAGAAAGGAGGAAGAGAGAGAAGCACATGAAAAAGCCTAGATTCTATAACAGAAAAGAGGCTGGGGGGAAAACCCTGACTTACAAAGGAAGGAGCTTTGGCACTAGCATTTCCATTTCTGTTTGTATCAAGCCCAGCTGTATTTTAGTTTCTGCCCTTGGATTTTATGAAAAGTCTATATTGTAACAACTCCTCCTGTATTATACTTGAGTTATTTTCAGGGGTCTCAATTTTTTGTAACTAAAGCCTTAAGGAAATTGATAGATTTAAGAAAATGCAAGTGTTTCAAATACAGTTTTCATATAAATGGAATCATACGTGGTTCTTTGTGACTGGTTTCTTTCCCTTAGCCTGTTTTCAAGGTCCATCCATATTGTAGCATGTATCAGTACTTAATTTCTTGTTATTGACAGATGATATTCTATTGCATGGCTATATCATATGCAAGTTTTGTGCAGACATTTGTTTCCACTCTCTTAGGGGTAAAATTGTTGCTGTATCATATGGTAATTCTATGTTTAATAGTTTGAAAAACTCTTTAACAGTTTAGAAAACATCCTTTCTCCCAAAACTTTACATTCCCATTAGCAGTCTATGAAGGTTGGCATTTCTCCATGTCCTTGTCATATTTGCTATTCTTTGTCTTTTTTATTGTAGTCATCGTAGTGGGTGTGGTGTTTTATTATGGTTTTCATTTCCCTGATAGTTAATGATGTTGAACCTCTTTTTATCTTCTTCAAGAACAATTTTTTCATCTTATTGCTTATTTGTATATCTTTTTTTTCTCTTGAGAACCATTTGTTCATATGCTTTGCCCATTGTTTTTTTTTAACCAAAGTTTTTTAACTTTGATAATATGTTTTCTTCTTTTGTGAAATGACTTTCTGTCACTTGCGTATTTTTATGTTCTGTTTGCCTGTCATGGTTTGCATTTTTTGAATCTTGTTTAAGAAATCCCTACTTTTCTTTATGAAAGGGAGGCAGTCTAGTCTAGCATAATGTTTTAAAACAGGAACTCAAGAGGCAGATCGCCTGAGTTCAAATCACAGATCTTATACTTAGTGGCTCTGTGGTCTGGGGCAATTTAAGTAACCTGTTTTCCTTAGTTTCCTCATCTTTAAAATGGGAATATTAATAGTACCTAGTTTACAGGGCTGTTATGAGGCATAAGTGAGTTAATATATGTAAAATGTTTAAAATCATACCAGGTACACAATAAGCAACAAGTGTTTGCTATTATTATTTGCATCTTTATTTTACCTGACCTGATTTTTTATGTTGTGACACAGCAAACTAATTTTTGTTCCATAGAGAAAACTAATTATTAAAAAGTACAATTTATTGAATAATCCATTCTTTCTACATTGCTTTGTTTACCTTTCAAGTTGGTCTATCCCACAGCCCTCTATTCTATTGCTTTAGCCCATTTGTCAATCCTGTCTTTTAATAACAGTATTATAACTTTAATATGTCTTGTTTGCTAGTAGGATAAATCCTTCTACTTTTTAAACCATCTTCAAAATTACCTTAACTATTCTTAGAAGTTTGCTCTTAAATATGGGTTTTAGAATTAGTTTGTCAAATTCTATAAAATCTCTGTGGGTATTATGATTGGAATTGCATTGAATCTCTAGATTAATTTTGGAGTTGATATCTTTATGATGTCGCTGTCACTTTTAGTTAGGATTCTGGCATGTATATGTCTAGCTGACAAAACCCAAGTCAAATAATGATGTCTTAGCTATAAGAGAAGTTGAAATTTTGAGCTCTGCTTTCTAGTTTTGGGAGGGCAATTGAAGAGAAGATGGACAGCCCTATAAATACGATGAAGGCACATTATATGTTTAGCCCACTACATCATTTCTAAATATGTTTACAGCTGTTCCTTCTTACCTGTGGTTTCACTTTTCATGGTTCCCCCCGTCAACTCCAGTCCAAAAACATTAAATGGAAGATTCTAGAAATAAGCAATTCATAAGTAACAAGAAACAAAAAGGTCACTATATAATACTAAAGGGATCGATCCAACAAGAGGTTATAACCCTGATAAACATATATGTGCCCAGTATAGGAGCACCTAAATTTACAAAACACTTCTAGAGGACTGAGTGGATAAAAAAAGCTGTGGCACATTTACACCATGGAATACTATGCAGCTGTAAAAAAGAAGGATCTCTTATCCTTTGGCACAGCATGGAGGGACCTGGAGAGTATTATGCTAAGTGAAACAAGCCAGTCAGAGAAAGACAAGTACCACATGATCTCACTCATATGTGGAAAGTAATAAACAAAATAAACTTATGAACAAAATAGATCCAGAGACATAGAAGCATGGATCAGACTGAGGGATTTCAGAGGGAAGGTGGGGAAGAAGTAGTGGGTGTGGAGAGATTAATCAAAGAACTTATATGTTTATAAGTACAACGCATGGACACAGACATTGGTATGGAAAAGGCCTGGGGGTGGGATGGATGCGGGGTGGAGGGGATCAATGGGGGATAAAGGGGGACATCTGTAATACTTTTGACAATAAAGGTAAATAAAAATTTTTAAAAAATTGTGCCCCATTATGATTAGTGTGATAAAATCTCTATCCTACCCCATCCTGCCTGAGATGTGTATCATCCCTTTGTCCAGCACTAGTTACTTCATAGCCCTCTTGGTTATCAGATGGACTGCAATCAGTGTTCAAGTAACCCTTACAGTGACCTAAAGGTATGGCACAATGCCTATGTCATTCACCTCATTTCATCTCATCACACAGGCACTGCATTATCTCACATCATCACAAGAAGGATGTGAGTACAGTACAATAAGGTATTTTGAAAGACAGACAATATTTCCATAACTTTTATTAGTATGTTGTTATAATTATTCTATTTTATTATTAGTTATTATTAATCTCTTACTGTGACTAATTTATAAACTTTATCATAGGTATGTATAGGAAGAAAACATAATATATACAGGGTTCAGTATTATCTATTTCAGGCATCCACTGGGGTTCTTGGAACATATCTTTTGTGCATAAGGGGGAATTACTGTAGTTCTGCTTCTTCCTTTTGAAATCCTACAAATTTTGTTTCTTTTTCTTCTCTAGCTCCTTTTAGAGGAAGCTAGAAAAGTTTAAACAGAAACAGTGATAACAGACATTGTTGTTTCATTCTGATTTTAAAGGGAATGATTCTTACATTTTACTGTTAGCTATAATATTATGGATTTTGCTACATAATCTTTACCTGGTTAAGAGTTTCCTTTTATTTCTGTTTACTTTTTTTCTTGAGATGCTGCCGAGGTGTGGACCCAGAGTTTAAGCACAGATGAACATCAGATCCCGATCTCACACTTCTGCTAGTGTGATCGTTACAGAAAAATGAAGAATTCAGAAACCGATCATAAGCTCAAGAAGAGCTGCAAAAACAGAAACAAAAATTCAAAGACCTTGGAAGGAACTCTCCAACGACATCAAACCAAGGAACATGGACTTGCAGGTTACTCATAAATCCCAGGACCTTCTCCACCACACCCCAAGCAGGTGGAGGGCTATCCCCACCAGCAGCAGCTCCACCAGCACCAGCTCTCCTCACAGGAACTGCTCCTCCTCCTCCAACTCCTTCCCCTTAGGAAGCGGCATACCACCCCACCCCACCACCCCTGCTCAGGGATCTGCTGCTCCAGGACCACCACCTGCTGTCTTAGGAAATGAGGCAGTAATAAATGTATAAACCTGAAAAAATAAGGGTATAAATAATGATTAAATACTTGTATATATAGTGAAATGATCACTACAATAAATCTAGTTAATATTTGCAAGTTGCTAAGAAAATAGGTCTTAAAAGTTCTTATCACAAGAAAAAAATTGTAGATATGTACGGTAAAGGATGTTAACTAGACTTTGCCCATTTTCAGTTGGGTTACCTGTCCTTTTTGTCATTGAATTGTAATAGTTTTTCACGTATACTAGCTTTTCCCCTTTGTGTATCTACATTTTTGGTATCCAAATCCTGTTTTTGGCAGTACATTTATCAGATTTTGATGAAGTTGTATTAGATATGATTTGCAAAAATTTTCTTCAATTCTGTGGGTTCTTTTCACTTTCTTAATATTGCCCTTGGAAGTACAGTTTTTAAAATTTGATTAGGTCCAGTTTATCTTTTTTTATTGTTGTTGCTTGTGCTTTTGCTGTTATATCTAAGAAACCATTGCCTAATTCCAGGTCATGACAACTTACACTTATTTTTATTCTAGGAGTTTTATAGTTTTAGCTTTTCCATGTAGGTCTTAAGACTAATTAAAAAAAAAAAAATTATTTATTTAAATTCTCACCAGAGGATTCCCTCCCCCCCATTGCTTTTTAGAGAGTGGAAGGAAGAGAGAAACTCAATGTGAGAGAGACTGGTTGCCTCCACAACTGAGGTACATGCCCTTAGCTGGAATCAAACATGAGACCCTTCAGTCTGAGGGCTGACACTCTAACCACTGAGCCAAACAGGGTAGGGCAGTCTCGCTCGGACTAATTTTGAGTTAATTTTTATATATGGTGTGAGGTAAGGGCCTAACTTAATTTTTTTATAGGGAGCTATCCAGTTGACCCAGCACCATTTGTTGAAGAGGTGGTTTTTCCTCCTTTGTCTTGCTGCCCTTTAAAAAAATCAATTGCCCTTAAATGTGCAGGTTTATTTTTGGACTCTCGATTCTATTCCATTGATCTTTATGTCTATTCTGATGTTGTGCCACACTGTCTTGGTTATTGTAGCTTTGTAGTAAGTTTGTAATTAATTTGTGTGACTCCTCCAACTTTGTTTTTTTTAAAAAATATAACTTTACTGACTTCAGGGAGAAGAAAAGAGGAGAGAGAGATAGAAACATCAATGATGAGAGAGTCATTGATCAGCTGCGGCCCGCAACCCAGGCATGTGCCCTGACTGGGAATTGAACCCTGATCACCTGGATCCTAGGTCAACGCTCAACCGCTGAGCCACGCCCGGCTGGGCCAACTTTGTTCTTCTTAAAGACTGTTTTGGTTATTCTAGTTTCCTTGAATTTTGACAGATTTTAGGATCAGCTTGTCAATTTCTACAAAGAAGCCAGCTGGGATTTTAATATGACTCTGGTGATGAATTTGGAGAGTATTGCCATCTTAAATTAATGATGTTAAGTCTTCTGATCCAGGAACATGAGATGTCATTCCATGTGTTTAGGTCTTTTAAAATATTTTTCAAATTGCATACATTTTTTAAACTTGCATAGCCAGTTAGCTTTAAAAAAAAGTACATAGCTTTTGGGGACTGAGTAGCAGCTATAACTCTTTCTTCTATTTTTATATAGATAAAATCATTTTAATGTTAGAATTAAAAATATTTATAAAGAAATAGTCATTAAAACAATACCTGTTACTCTAAGTAATTTCTGAAATTAGAAGAAACAAATAACAAATTTTAGTTAATATAAAAACTGGGGAAGTATAATGAAAAGTGCTTGAGTTTGGAAGTCAGGAAATTGGCAATCTTTTACTAGCTGTGTGCCTAACTAGGCATATAACCTTCAGAAAAATTTTACCTCTCTAGGACTGTTTCCTCACATATAAAATGATATTGTAATTTTTCCTAAATAGGAAATCATGGGTCTATGCTACCAATCTACAATATGGCATGTAACAATATTTATTTTTAGACTAAATCTTGAGGAATAAAACATTTATAAAATTGTTTGGAGTTGAGATGTTCAATATTTCTATGCACCCCTCCCCCATCTTAGAGGCATAAAGGAGAAAATATTTATATAAGATTTTTACTTACTGCAGATTAAATTAGAGAAATCTGTATATGGAGCTTAAATACCTATAAGTATAAAATAGAATTATGAGCTTTAAAATGCAAAATTATGGTTATGATTCATTCTTAATATAATTGAGAAGTAGATGCCATCTATTGTAGTCAGAATATTAATGTTAATAAGTAGTCTTAAAACATCCAGTACAGTAAATAAAATTTAAAGAAGTGTGGGTCAATATGTAGGTTATATATTTAAACTTTTTTTTTAGTGTTTTAAGTAGCATAACATAAAATTTTTCAGCTTAAGAAACTTTCGTGTGCAAATTTTCTGGGCATACCCTGACCTCCAATGCTCTGATATACAAAGTGAGGACTATGTACTCAGTGATTACAATTGTTTTTATTGCATTTTAAAGCCAGTACTCAATAGCACCATCTACTGTTAACACAGTGAAATTTAATAACAGTGGAAAGAATGTTACATGATTAGATCTTCACATTGAAACAAGTACAAGAAATATTCTAGTCCCAACTTTCTAAGCTTACAAATAAAGAATAGGAGGCTCAGAAAAGATAAGTAACTTTTCAAGTCACAGATATGTTGCTAAGATGATATATACTAGTGCAAACTAAAACTTCTGTAGGTGCTTTCAATGCAAGGAAACATGGAAATGCAATTTATCCTAGTGACGAAGTCTCTAGGGTTAAAAATCAAGCTGGCTCTGTTTATGGCTTCAGTGCTGATGATCTTTGAGCAAGTTAATTAACTGCTTTGTGCTTCTGTTTCTACATCTGAAAGTTGGTGACACGTGTTTTTCAGGGTTTGCGTAAGAAACAGAAGTAGTACACAATGTATGTAAAGCACCATGCTTTATATATGATCAGAAATGGTGACATCATTTTTATTCACAAGTGGTAGAACTGCATTTGAATCCAGATGTTTCTTATTTCAATGTCTGTGTTGTTTAAAATTGACCACACCAGCAATCAGAAGAGACTGGCCTTATTATATGTACAAAATAAAACAATTCATGAACATTTGATAACACAGTGTATCAAAATATAAGCCCACGGGCATAGCATAAGTTCTATAGGATTCTTTAATTTTGGGTAAAGAAGGAAACTGGGTCTCATCTTCAGTAGTTGGAAAACAGGTCCTTAATTTCTTGTCTTATTATTTAGTCCAGCAAGCTTCCTTTCTTTTTAGTGATAGACTCTGTCCTGTCCTCTTGGCTTTGAGGGTGTGCACATTGCCAAGGCCTGGCCAATCATAGCACCTCGTTTTTCCTGGACACAGTGAATGGTTCAGAGGACATGTGATGCAAAAAGAGCTAGTGTCTGGAAGGGTCAGAGAAACGTGAGAAGTGTGATATCTTTGACCCCATGCAAATACCTTCTGCAAGGTACCTGATTCTTAATAAAATGCAATGGAGACCCTTGACTGTTATCCCATATTCATTTTTCTCCTCTTCAGCAGCAAAAGAACCCATGAACCTATGTTTTTCAGTCTCCTTTGGAGATATGTGTGACCAATAGACTCACTGGGGCCTTTGAGATGTGAGTTAAACTGTTGAATGCCATTTCTACAGTTTTATCTTAAACCATTGGTCACATGCTTCTCTATCCTCTATTCCTGGAAAGCAAATGTGTCAGTGACTTAGCTTCAATCTTTAGATGAGAACACCACCTTAGAAAATCAACATCTTAGATAAACTAGGAAAGAAATAGGTTTTTACAGTGAAGTCACTAACTGTAAACACTGTGGATGTGGTGTTAGACTGTAAAGTCAAAGCAGAAGACCATTAAGTTCAGCCATAAAGAGGAATGAAGTACTGATTCATACTACAACATGGAGGAACCTTGAACACAACATAAAATCACATATTGTATGATTCTATTTATATGAAATGCCCAGAATAGGTAAATCTATAGAGACAGTAAATTAGTGATTGCCAGGGGCTGGAAGTTTGGTGGGGTAGAGAGTGACTGGTAATGGGTACCAGGCTTCTTTGGTGGTGATGAAAATGTACTGGAATTAGACAATAGTAAAGGCTGTACAACTTTCTGACTATACTAAAAACCACTGAATTGTATACTTTAAAGGGGTGAATTTTATGGCATGTGAATTATATATAAAAAAATCCATTTACGCTAAATTGCCCTTGAAAGTCCTTCTTAAAGAGTCTAATACAGCTAGTTTTACCTTTAGTGTAAAAAATAAATCGCCTTAATTTTTGAGTTGAGTACTTGTTGAGTATGCTTGCATTTAGGAACTGTGTTACCAAACATATATATTTTAACTCATCATATTTAGTTGTATGAGATTCTTACATTAAAAAATGCAAGGGAATGACATCAAAGGTATTCAAAAGGGAATATATGTACCCCTGGGGATATAAAAAAATTTCCGAGAGGTGCTCAGGCATGGATAGCTTTAAGAAAATTAATTTTCATATCCTCAACGTGCAGGTATTATCTTTTCTAAATTGATCTGTGGCTAAAGCTGCCATGTCATTATGTCCTATAGTCCTTTCCTACCTCCCATTTCTCAATTTACAGAAGAAAGCCATACCTCTCACATGTCATAAATTCTTACCATGGTAAAAACCTCACGGTGCCAAACAACCAGACAATTTGAGTTACTGAGGTTGGGGAACCCTCCTTTACATCAAGGCACCATAAACCGTGACGGAGTATTGCATTTTTCCTTGCCTTATACTTTTGGCGTATAATTCAGAAGGAATTCAAACAATTGAGTGACGCTATAGTAAGATTCATTTCATTCACTTCTACTTATGTTGTAGGCTGAGGGAATGGCACTGGGCGTTAGTCCTGTGGGGTCAGACTGGACTTGGGTTCAGCAACCTCGGTACTGGGTTCTGGCTAGGAAAGAATTTAGAGCCAAGACCCAAACTATAAGAGAACATTTATTTCATTAATCACAGAAGTAGAAAAAGTCATTCCTAGAAGAGATGGGCTTAGGAAAGTTATAGAGGCAAAGGAATGGCCCTTGGAGATTGGGAGGGAGGAAGCTAATACTAATAAGTGGAGCCTGGGGAGGGGAGAAGGGA